CAAGGGAGGGAAGGGAGGGCGGCGGCTGGGAGGGGCTGCAGGTCCAGTCAATCCCCAGGAGCATTTCCAGGCAGGGGCCTGGAGGACCCCTCTGCCGGGAAGGCCCCCGGATGGCCGTGACAGCTGCCGGTCAGGGCTGGCAAGACCAGGGCGGAGAGACCACGGAGCTGACCCCACAGACAGCCGTTCCTCATGCTCCTATGAAGACGACGCAGAGGGGCTCCCTCAGCTACTCATCCAGAACGGAAAGATGACTATCCAGGAGAACCAGTCAGACCCCAGCTTTGAGAAGTTCCTTTTTTGGACTTAATTCTCAGGAACTGGCCGGGGGAGTTCCAGGGTGGCCCTCCCAAAGCCATCGCCTTCTCCAACCTCCCTTTCAGAACCCCTGGATTCTCATTCTGTCCCCTCACAAGGCTCCAGACCACCACCGTCTGACAGACACAAGCCGTGGGACGGGCGTCACGCGTGGCCTAGCCCCAGCAGGAACCTGGCTCCTATTTTGGGGTGTGTGTGTGTGTGTGTTAAGAAGTATTCCACGATTCAAGAACAAACTTGGCTCTCTCAACGGCTATTCTCCAGAAGCTCCGGAAGGAGCCCTGAAAACAGATGTTGAGCACCGGGGAGCAAGGAAGCCAAGAGCCGTCTGGCCCAGCTGCCCCACTCCAGCCGGCCAATACTGCCAGCCCAGCCCTAGCCGGTCTTTGGAGCAGCCAAGAGGGGGAGGGGGAGCAGACACGCACCCCAACCTTGTGCTCCAGTGCGCAAGATGGATCTCAAGCCTTCAACCTTTGCAGCAGGATTTACTTCACATTTGCTGCCAAAAGGATGGCCAACAACAAAAGGGTGAAAACAATAGTCAAAAACAGAGGGGAAAACAGATAAAGAAACCTAGATGAAAATTCAGCATTCTTTAAAAATGTGCCGGGCCTTCAAAAACCAAGCAACCAACAAAACAAACAAACAAACAAACAACCCAAACACAACTTCAAAGCCACACTTACACACCAAAGGTCCTCCAGATCCAGCTTTACACCCCTCACTGAACCGAGAGTGAGCCTTCTCCCTTCCACAAACAGCAGCCACTCCCAAGCAAAACCAGCAACTTCAGCTGCCTGCTCTCACAAGAGAGGGTCCCATTTCCACTGCAAAACCCGTATGTTCTTCACAAGCTGACGAGTGAAAGATTCCCTGGAGCATCAAAGCCTTCCTTCTGCTTCGCCCGTCTTTGTTCACACCTGCAAGGGAGTTAGATGAGAGAGTAGACCACCCCAGGGGAGCCCCCACCCCCTTTAGAAAAGCTGACCACTGACCCCAAGCGGGCAGAACCCCTGGGCTCCCACGTTGCCTGGCCTCTGCTTTGCCTCCTGGTTCCAGACCAAAGGCCGCGCCCGCCTGCCCGCCCGCCCGCCCGGGGAGCTTTGCTGGGAAGAGGCTCCAGGACCAAACTGGGGCTGCTGCACCAGGCGCTCAGGGGAAGAGGGCTGGGCTGGGCTGGGCTGGGCCAGGCTGCCCTCCCGCACCCGAGTCACATGAATTGCTCGGCACACGCAGGGAGCTCCTCCAGCTGCTTCTGAGCCCGTGGTGGCTGGGCTGAGACAAGGGCCCATTGTGCAGTCCAAATGCCAGCAGGAGGGCCCAGAGCCCACAGAGCGCTGGCATGGCAGCTAGGCAGATGCCAGACCTGGCCGTGTGTACCAGGGCTTCCAAGCTAGTAGCAGAAGGGTAAGAGGCTACAAGGAGCAGCAGGGGTGTGTGTGTGGGGGGGTGGTGGTGGTGGGGAGGAGAGATCCTTGTGTGTGTGTGTGTGTGTGTTGGGGAGGAGAGATCTTTCCCAAACATCCCCCAAACCAGTGGAAATGCCACCATTCTTTAAACATGTGGCTTGGCCACCAATTTGCAGGCTTCGGCACGTGGCTGGGCTTGACTCCAGAGACAGAGGCACTCCGAGACAAGAACCAGGCGGCCTTGGGCAGGCAGGGCTTCCTGGCTTAGCCTCTGACTTGCAGAGAAAGGCCAGTGCTGAAGGTCTGCGTGGAGGTTTCCACCCTCTGTCCCTTTGCAGCAGGAGGCAGCAACAGGGAAGAGAAGCGGCCCCTCTGCCCCGCCCCGCCCCATAGTTTGGGAGCTCCAAGGGGGCTTCACATATCTCCAGCTAGGGTGCCTCCAGGACTGTGGCAAGCACTGAGGTTAAGGGGGCACAGCTGACGGAGGGGGGGGTCCTTTCCCACAGCAGAAGGAAGCTTTGCACGATTCAACGTGGAGGCACCTTTCGGAGACTCCCGAGCCCAACAGGCACATGGGACAGCCTGGAAAGGAATGAGCAGGACAGTCACTTACGCTTGAGCGCACACGCGCACGCATGCACGCGCACGCACGCACGCACGCACGCACGCACGCACACACACACACACAACACACACACACACACACACACTTTCCCCAGGCAAACACCCTCTCCCCTCGCACAGATTGATCCTTTAAGAAACCAACAGCATAGGATTGTCCAAAACTGGTTCTCAAAAGGAGGCCAGAACACCAAGAACCCTTTTTCAAGTTATGAGGTGTGGGTGGGGGGAGCGAAGGCATCGGTCTTGGGAAATACAGGAATTCAGAGCAGGACGGGTTATCGTCATCATCTGTTCTGGATGATGAACTCAAGAGAGGCAAATTCCAACTCATCTTAATCCTTCCAGCCGTTCAGCAGCAGGAGAAAGGGACCAGTTGTCAGAGGAGGAAGAGGAGGAGGAGGAAGGCAGAAGTGCCTCAGCCAGGAAGAGCACCGGATTGATGGATTACATTTCTCACCTGCCCATCCATCCAGTGTCAAAGCCCTGCTCTGGGTGGCTGACATGAATGAAGAACAGCTCCCTGCCTAGCAAAGCTAAGCACACAAATACGGAGAGTCAAGGGGACCGTCTTGGCTTCCTGTCACCTCCTCCCTCTCTGTGGCTGGGGCCACGCCAGGACACCTGAACGAGGCACCTGTGGACAGAGGGGAGGGGGCAGCGAGTGCGGGCGGCCTTTACACACTTGCAGGGACCTTTAAAAGAGACAATCTGACCGCTCCTACAGTAAAAGCAGAAGGTTCTGCCTTGGGCTGCTCTCTCTGCTGCAGCCTCAGAGCACCCAGGACCAGATTTGCTTTGCTGAGAAGCGACAAGAACACCTTCGGGGAGAAGTGTGGGGGAAAGAGCAGAATCTGGAGACTGTCCCCCCCCCCGAGGGTGGGTGGAAGGGATTCCTTCCCAGCCCCTTCTCTCTCATCTGCTCTCTCTTCCCCCCCCCAATTCATTGAGTTTCCTCCCCACCCCTGGACACCCCCACCAGGGCCAGTCTGCTGGGACGTTGAGCACAGAAAGCTCAGCTATGCACCAAATCAGCACATTCTCTTCAAATGCCGCCAGAGGCTGAGCAGCTTGGATCCGAAAGAAAGAAAACAAACACAGCTTTCCTTTTCCTCCACCGTTGCTCTGGACCCGCAGCCTGCACTCCCCGGCTGCTCTGTTTCGGAAATAGAGTCCAGATGTGGGAGAGCGGCAGGCAGGCAGCCCAGGGGCCTGGCACCCCACCCCACACACTCAGAGCAAAAAAAGAGGGGCTGTGCTCATTCCCGGCTGGAGAGGAGAGGGAGCCCAGGGTCTGCCGGGAAGCAGAGAGATGACCTACCTGGGTGGAAACGGCTCTGGACGCAGAGGCTGCGTCAGGAGTGCCTTTCCGGTCTTAGCCAGGGGTTGATGGTGGAGGAGCACGGTTGCAGGACCTCAAGAGGACCCCTTGGTTGTTGATTCGGCCTCCTCTCATCATGAAGAGGGGACACAGAGTGGGTCAAAGCAACAGGGCCACCTGGCCCAGATGGGGGGGGTCCCTGCCTGTTTCTATCCATACCAGAGCAAGGACTCAACGAAGAGGGAAACCAAAAAGACTCTTGGGGCAGCTGAGCGGTGCACAAAGCACTCCGTTCTTTGTCCACCTCTCATCCACCCACCCACCTTGGCCACCTCTCAGGATAACTGCCTGGCTGCAATAAAAAGTTTCCATCAACCTTTTTTGGGGAGGAGGCTTGGCTCCAAATCAGCCCCGGTGCTAAAGGCAGGAGGCACCACAGGGCAGGCTGAGAGGGAAGGAGGTGGAAAAAACAGCAGGGAAGAATTAGGGGCAGTGCTGGACAATGGAAAGCTGCAGCAGCGCAGGCGGCACTGCGCAGCACACCACCAATGATTACTCAAGAGTAGGAAGACAAATGCCAGCACCTTCACAGATGGCAAGGCAGCCATGAGGTACTGTACAGCGTCTAGACACCTCGCCTACCTTGGGAGCCTGGGAAGCACATCCCTCCAGGGCAGGTGAGCCGGAAGGCCAGGGACCCCAGCAGCAGATAGATGCCTGCCTGCCTGCCTGCCTGCTCTCCCCCTCCCCGAACAGAACTGGGCTTCCAGGTTCAGGCCTGGCTGGCCCAATGCCCCTTCTACCCCCATGAGTCACATCCGATGAGCCAGGGAGCTTGACCTTCCAGAGAAGAGGACATCCCTTGGAAGGCGGCACTGCCTGGGCAAAGCCTCCGGAAACTGCCAACGGAGGAGGAGAAGGAGGAGGCTCTGCTTCAACTCTCACAGCTTGCACACCCACCCTCCAGGGACCCACTCCCAGATCCTGGGTGCTGGCCAGAGAGGGGAGGCAAAGAGCCGCCAGCCAGCAGCCCTCAGGCTCCTAGCACCCACGTTGAACACACTCAGGTTGCCAAAGAAGTGGAAATGCCAGCCCACCCCCTGTTTTTGGCCAAAGTAGTGGTGAGAAAGTTGTGTGTGGGGGGGAGTGTCCTCTGAAGCCAACCCTTGGGGGGGTGTTCTCCTAGTAGAGAATGTGGGGCACCATGAAGGTGTACGGGGACCATGTCACAAGAACTCTGGGCCCAGCAAGAAGGGAGAGAAAAGGGCTGGCCTGGCCTGGAGTGGAAGCAAGAAGCAGGCAGAGTGGCCAGCAGCTAATTCTGGCACAAAGGCCTCCTTGTCTGTGAGCCGATCGCTGCCGCCGACTCTGCCAGGAAGCAGAGGGAAGAGACTGGCAGGTCCTGGGATTCGGGGCACCACGTCAGCCCCAGGAAAGGGTCCTGTGGCACAACCTCTCTTTCTCCCCCCCCCCAAGAGGAGGCATGTAGTACCTAAAGCCAACCTGGTTATTTTGGCTCTTTCTGGCGGCAGAAAGGCCCAGAAGCAATGCTTTCCATCCCTAGCAGCAAAATTACAACGACCGGAAAGAAAGTCACCGTTTCCTGTCTTCTCGTGAACCCCAAACAGGCAGCCTAAAGCAGCGTCCTCAGCCCATCTCATGGCAGAGCCGGCCCTGGCCTTAGCACAAGGTTCTCTCCTGCCGCAGGTGGAAATCCCTGGACTTCAGCGTGAACTTTCAGCAGCCACCGAAGCCTTAAGCACGCCTTAAGGGGACCCCGTGGCCTTCACTGCCCTAACGTCTGCCGTCCCCAGGCTCTTCTGGCTCAGGCTGAAGGGAATGAAGCCCTCAGCACCTTCTAGAGAGCGGCCACTTTGTGCCTCTGCACGAAGGAAGGGGAGGGGAGGGAAGGTCTGGCGCTTGTGCACCTCCTGAATGCAATGAATTCCTTGGCACAGGAAAGGACTTTGCACGCTGCTTGATCTCTGGCACCCGCCTCCCAGCCTGCCTAACTAGGGCCCCCTAGCACAGGGAGAAGGAACTGCAGGCCCTTTGCCAGCTGTGGCATGCCCACGTAGGATGACGATCCTCCATCATCATCTGCCCTTCCTCGATTCCTGGAGGCCTGACCCATGCCGAGGGTAAACCAAAGCCAAAGGTGTCTGTTTCAAAGTGAGACCTAATGGGGAAGTGTGTGTGCATGCAGGGTGTGTGCTTCTTTGTAGGAAGAGCCGGGGTGCAAGATCCAGTCCACAGCTGCCTCGGCTGTAACTTTGAAACACCAACCAGAGGTGCTTCTGGCACCTCTCCTCGCTTGCATCTCAGAAAGATGTGTCTCGTGGAGAAATCCACCTTGCCAACAACTTTGGGACCTTAAGTTCTTCCCACTGGTACAGGCCTGAGGAAGTGGTGTTCCTCCACGAAAGCTCACGTCTTGTATGATGGTTTTAGTGGTCTCCAAAGGCATCATCTATTCTTGCATTTGGAAAGGGAGGAGGGGCGGCTCAAGGGAGCGTGGCTCGCATCACGTCTGCCCCACTGATTTCCTAGTCAGGGGGAGCAGCAGCAGAGAAGCGGCTTGGGGCATTTCCTCCCCCTCCCTATGTGGAGTGGCAAAGGGGTTGCACATATGCTTCAGTCTCACTCTGGTGAGTCCACAGCTGCACACAATACCCGAGCGGGTGGCCCTGATCCCTTCCCCCCTTCCCAGGAACACAGCCCCGGCAGGCAGCCCTAATTTGGACTCGGCCTGTGGAGGCAAACCTTCCCCTTTCCTGCTGGTTAACCCCCCCCCCTTCCCGGAGAGGAGAATTAGAGAGGTTGCCCCCGCTAATTGCTACGAATTGATAGGATGCTGGATGCGCGATGGGCATAGGACTGGAATGACAACCAGCTCAGGACTGGCAGCTGGGCAGTTAGGATGAGGCCCCGCCGGGGCTTCACCTGGGCTCCGATGGCGTTTTGTCCACTTCCAGGGAGCAAGTGCGGCATCCCACCATCTACCCACAAACAAGGGTCAGAGTAGGGGGAGGGGGCAGGGACCCTGGCCTTCCTCCCAAACCAGTGTAGATCCACCTCTTGGCATGCCACCTCACATCAAAGGCAAAGCTCCAGAGCGGGATCCTGCAGTGGGGTCTCCTCAGGAGTCAAGGCAAGTGCCTGTGGCCGATGCTTCCTGGAGCAGCTATGGGAAATAAATAGTGCAAGCCAGACTCATTGCAGGGGAGCAGTGAGGAGGGTAACAGGTGTGTGTGTGTGTGTGGGAGTCCTACTGACCTCCACACCCTTGAAACCTCTTGCCCCCCCTCCTGCACGGATCGGTCAAGGCAGGGGCAAAAACAGCCTTCCGCACCAGGGTGTGCCCTGCCTGCCCCTCCAGCCCACAGCCAAGCGCCAAGGCTGGCAGCAGACACACAAGGGCAGTTAATCATTGACTGCCGGAGAGCGAGTGGCCGTCGGCTGCTCTCAGACCCAGGGAGCCCCCAGGGAGGGTGCTGGCCCAAAGCCACCCTCCACTTCAGCCCAGGCATCTTGGCCAGAGCAGAGCTGCCAAGAGAGGGGCTTCTCTGCCCCGTCTTTGCCCCACTGACGTGCGCAAGCGATCCTGACCAGGGTGCAAATGATGGGAAGGAGACAGAAGACAAGGCCACCCCCACCCTAAAAGGTGGGCCTGGCCTTATTGCCAGCATGTGAAAGGCACTGGGGGCCTTTCAGCTCCCGCCCTGGCCCTCGGGGGGGGGGAGAGAGGGAAGCAAGTGGCAGGGAAGATAAGGTGGAGGAGACCACTGCTGCCTGCCAGCACCTGGGCAGGTTCCAGCTAGCCCTGCATCTCAGCCCCCTGCAAGGTCTTGGCCACTATAAGAGTGAGAGGAGTCAGGCCAAGAGGGTGCTGGAGGACAACCGGGACAAAAAGCCAATAAGGGGAGCAAACTGGGGGAGAAGGCAGGAAAGAATGGGGAGAAGCAGCTCATGGGGCAGGGGGTGGGGGCGCCTGCTCCAAACGCCAACCAGAATTGGTGCTTTTGCGGAGCTTCCACATCTGTCAGGGAATCTGCAGGTAGGCTGAGAAAAGGCTCCTTAAAGCCAGAGGGATCCTGCTGACATTCAGGTCCGCCCGTTTCACTCTCATAGCCCTGCTAATCCCCTTCTCACCGTGACAAAAAAGCTGTTCGCATTGCCTGTGCCCATGCACTCGCCTCCCAGCTGAGCCCAAAGGATCGGGTGAGGGGGAGCAGCATGACAGGAGAGGGTTGACCAGGCATGAGTCAAGAACCCAGCCGTTAACTGCTTTGGTTTTCCCAGTTGGCTCCTGGTGGGTCATTGGTCGTGGCCAACGCCAAACCATTGTGAACCACCATTTCCCAGGTTTGTGCCCATCTTTAAATGGAAGTAGACGGCACTGTGCCAGGCGGCCCACATAAACACAGGCAACGGCTTTAGGCTCAACCCCGAGGCGTCCTCTCCTCAGCAAGGGATCTCCTCCAGCCACCACCCCCACCCCCCTTTCGGCTTGAGATTTTTCTGTCTGGAGATCACTCACAGGCAGAGACATCGCACCGCCTTTTTGTTCTCTGTCTCTAGGAGCCCCTCTCTGTCATGGGCTTTAACTCCCCCATAGCCTTCTGCTGATGAGAGTGGCCGGGCCAAGGGGCACGCCTGCACCAAGAACGGTTGCCGCAGCCACAGGGAGCCTCCCAGCAGGGTTTGCCCGAGGCAGGCTGGGCCTGCTCCACAGAGTCTTGCTTGCGCTTTCCTGGGGGGGAAAAGCCTGCAGAAGAACACAGCTGAGGAGCCCAGGAGATGCAGGAAAGGCCACCGGCATTTGGGGGAGAACGAGAAGGAAAAACCTGACCCCGTTGAGATCAGACTCTTCTTCCCTTGCTCGCCCCAGCCCAGGAACTGACTTGACAGCCCCCCCCCCCAAGGAAAGGAACTAGGGGTGTTTAAACCCCCCACTGTGCAGCCAGGCCATCCCTCCCAAAGGATGTCCTGTGGGAGGCTGAGAGCAAACAAGAGGGGGGCGGGCGGGGGAGCCATGCTTCAGGAAATGTTATCAAGGGAAGCGAAGGGGGGGGAAGGCGGCAGGAGGGCCCCTTTCGCAAACATGAGACAGGCTAACAGGAAAGAAACCAGAAAGGAATTTGGGGAGGGGGGTTCCCCAGGCAAGGTCGTCAAGGCTTTCACCCCTCCCCTGACTAAACCACAGGCGTCAGAGCCAAGGACATGCATTCGGGGCTACAAGCACCCTCTGTCTCTGCTCCCAAAAGGTCGGTCGGGGGGGGGGAGAAGGAAAGCTCCCTTTTGCTGCCCCGTTCCTCATCCCCAGTCCAGCTTTGGCTCTCTCGGGGACAGAGATGCATGGAGAAGTGGGCAGGAGGAGAGAAATTTCCCTGCAGGAAATCCTCTCTCCCCTCCTCCCGTGACTTTATACACAGGACACCCCAAAAGGCTCCAGAGAACACAGAATAATGGTTTGAGCTGCTCAAGCAGCAGGAAAAGTCCCAGACCGCCAGGCGGCTGCTGCAAAAAAGAAAAAAGGAAAACGACCCCATGGCACTGTGGGATTGCCAGAGAATGCCATGGGTGAGGAAGGCAAGCCCTGCTGGCCAGGCAGGAAGGCCCTGGGGCTCCCAGTGGGGAGTCCCCTTCCCCACTCTGCTTGCCTTTATTGCAAAGAGGGGCGAGAAGCCCCCTCCCAAGCCACCACTTTGGGATTCCATTGTCAAAGCTAAGCAGAAGCTCCCAGAAGGGCTTCCCTCCCCCCAGTTC